CGGTGGCGGAGCCACCGGGGCTCGCGGGACCGGGACCGGGGCAGGGGCAGGGGCCGGGACCGGAGCTGGGGCCGGGGATGGCAGCGCAGCTCCTCAAGAGCTCAACAACAGCCGGCCGGCCCGCCAGGTGCGCCGCCTCGAGTTCAACCAGGCCATGGACGACTTCAAGACGATGTTCCCCAACATGGACTACGACATCATTGAGTGCGTGCTGCGTGCCAACAGCGGCGCGGTGGACGCCACCATCGACCAGCTGTTGCAGATGAACCTGGAGGGTGGTGGCAGCGCCTATGAGGACAGCTCAGACTCGGAGGACAGCATCCCACCAGAGGTAGAGGCACGGTTAGATGATTCACTGCCAATAGTGGTTCAGTCTCTCTTAGCGTCTCTGGGTTAACCCCCAACCCTGGGGAGGGGCAGTAGGGCAGTTGGCTTCTAACCGGTAATTATCTCTCTTGAGACTTTTGATCAGGCAGTGACCTATATTATGGGTAGCAACCATGCAGTAGTTTAACAGACACCCAGCAAGGAAGTACCCACTCATTGGTATGCTAAGGGATAGGACAAGACCCCAAACTAAGGAAGGTGCTTGTTTAAAATGTAGGTACAGATCCCTGTGAGTTCAAGGCCAACCTGCTCTACAGGAGCTAGTTCCAGGACAAGCCCCAAAGATACAGAGAAACCTTGTATTGAAGAACAAAAACAATGTAGGTAAAAGCTGGGTGGTGGTGACACATGCCTTTAATCCCAGAGGCAGAGGCAGGCAGATTTCTTTGAGTTTGAGGCCAGCCTGGTCTACAGAGTGAGTTCCAGGACAGTTAAAGCTACACAGAGAAATTCTGCCTCATAAAACAAACAAAAAGAAAAAAAGAAAACAAGAAAAATGTAGGTATGTAGGCCCCACTCCATCACCTGACTTCAGTTCCAAGCCTGAAGTCTCTGGTGTATATTTTTCAAGAAAGGCTCTTGAATGGCAGAGTATCAGACAATGTTTTGGGAGCTCCCAGGCTAGTGTGGATTGGAGATAGGAGCTGGACCGGAATGAGAGAAGCAGAAGCAGAGGAGAGATTCACACCCAGAGCAAGGAAAAGGTGACCTGGCTCCAGGTCGCAGAGACAGGGCGAGTGATCAGTGAGGCTGGCCACACTCTCCACTCAGAAGAGTGGGGGAGCATCACTACAGACAGGGAGCTGGGGGTGGTTCGTCAGCTCGTCCTCAGATCCGCAGCATCAGTAGGGAGCCGTTCCCAGGGTGGAGGGCACATCCAGCCACAGTGAATCAAGGCCCACCCCACCCTTGGGGATAGCCGGTTTTCTATGGCCTCATTCAGGAGTTCAGCGTCCAGCTAACCCCTAGCCTAAAAGGACATGCAGTTCTCAGGGCAAAGGGTGAGGCATGCAGTTAGTACAAAGAGCCATGGATGAGACAAGAACCAGAAGACAGGAACGAGCTCCACTCTGTTCTTTCCCATCCTGAGGGTTGAACCCAGGACCTCATACATGCCGTGCAAGCCCCCTATCTCCCAGCCGTCTTTTTACATAAGCTGTCTCTGTGCAATCCAGGTGAGTCTTGTGCTTGCTCTGGAGCCCAGGCAGACCTTGAACTCTCCATCCTCCTGCCTCCTCTTTTCCAGTAGCTGGAATGGCAAGTGTGCTCCACCAGGCCCAGCTGAATCCCACCCTTCCCACAGCCCGTACTGTGCTGGGTATCTCAGCTGCTTCAGAAATACATCTTTTCTGTTTCTCAAACTTGATGAGAACCGTCACCTTTGTTTCCATGAGAACTCTGGTCCAGATTCGACTTCAGGACCTGGCCTTCTTGCTCCTTCTACTTCCCTCTTCCCTCCTTAGTGAGTGTTGCTAGGGTTCTCGCTCCATGGAAGAGAAGCTGTAGGGGTAACAATGATTTGTGTCAGTGTGGTATGCTCTCCCCAGGCAGATAGCAGGTACAAGGGGAAGTTTTGCAATGAGATGTCGTGTGTGTGTACATGAGTGGGTGTGTATACGTGAGTGTATGTGTGTGTGCACACTCGTGTAAGCCAGAGATCGATTTGGATGTTAATCCTCAGAAGCCAGCTCCCTTGTTTTTGGGGGGGCAGAGTCTCTCTCTAATTAGGCAAGACTGGCTGACTGGAAGCTCCAGGGAGAATTACTGTTTTACTCTGCATCCCCTGCACTGGCATTACTAGTGTGAGCCCCCAGCCCAGCTTCTTACACAGGTGCTGTATATTGAACTCAAGTCCCCAAGCTTGTGTGGCCCTTTACTGACCGAGCCACCTCCCCAGCCCTACTGATGCTGTCTTAGCACAGCTTTCTGTCACCTTTTCCTCTGTCCTACACCCCTTTGACCTGTCTGGATTAGTCAACGGGAAGAGCACTGGAAAATCCAGACCCTGCTCGTTGAAAGGCGGTGTGAGTATGTATGCATGTGTGCACGTGTAGGTGCATTCTTTCAGTGTGAGCTGGAAGTTCCCTGCATGCTTTGACTCTCTATGGTCCTGTTGGTGCTGGAGGTCTGGCAGGCGGGGCGTTTCCTGCCTTGCCCACAGTGCCCGTGGCATCGCAAGCCTCTGCAAGGCTTCTTCAGTCCCAGGCATTCCTCCCGTGCTGCACTTCTGTTCTCAAGCAGTCTGTTGTCCCCGTCGAACCCCTTCTCGGCTCTCCTTGGCTCTCTCCCAGCCCCCACCTTTGGAGCCCTGCCTGGGTCCATCAGCAGGCAGCTCCCGAGCCAGCGTAAAGTGCTGCAGGAAATTTATGAGCCGCAGTCAGAATGACAATAACTGCCGACTGGAAAAAGCCCCCTCTCTAGAGGCTGATGGATGGTGGGCTGGCCCAGGGGGTATCCTTGTCACAGAGAAACAGCTCCTGTCAGATAAATGGCCCAGACCCTGCTTCCCTACCAGCCTCTGGAACACCTGGCAGGCATCCATCACCCACAGTGAGTTAGGCCAGGAGGCCACAGAACCTCCAACACCTTTAGAGCCAGAACAAGCTCTTTGTGGTTGGGAAGATGGAGCGGGGGCAGGAGGATGCTGGGGTTCCCTCTCTGGGACTACAGATCTTCCTCACTGGAGCTGACCTGCCCACCACCTGCCTCCTCCCCACTGTTGACACAATCCTCTCTTGAGGGTAGCTAGGTTTGCTGCTCCAGGAAGCTGCTCTCTAGTACACAGGGCCTGCCCACATCCCTGCCATCCTTGAGTCTGGGCGCATGGCACAGTTCAGAGGAAACCCACAGAACTCTCCTCTCCCTCCCACCAGACCAAGTTTAGCCTGGACCCTGTCCCTCAGAGCCAAGAACTGTGGGAAACGGGGGCGTGTGGCTGAGGGAGGTGGCGAGTCCTCTGGGCACCCGAGGATCTTGACTGGCACCTCCTGTACTAGGCAACAGGGACCAGGTCCCATTTTTTGCACCATTCCCTTTCCCTGGGTCTCTCTCCTTCCTGGTGGAATGTGGGGTGAGGAGCGTGGTGGCCTGGCCAGCCAGGCGGCCTCATTCTTCTCTTTCTGCAGAAGCATCTGTTTAAATACTTTCCGCCTCACAGGAAAGAGCCCGCATTCCAGGGCGGGTGCCTCCTAGGGTCAGGCTGGCGTGCAGAGCTCTGAGTGCATGTGCACACACACTACCGGGACATGTGCACGCTTGCTACCAGGGCATCCCTGCCAGCCTCCCTGTGCTGGGCACGGCTGGCATAGGGCTCAAATGTGTCTGTGGAGCCTGGATGGACAGAAGCAGAGACACAGCTTCTACAAACTCAGAGTTCAAATGGGGCTGGAGGAGTCAGGGGCTGAGTCAGTTAGGGCCTCTGAGTCCTTTTCAGGTTCTTTGGTCTCTGAGAAAGTGGGAACAGAGCTGCGAGGGCAGGGTGGGGTGAGGTGTGTGGCCGTGAGACAGAGCTCTGCCCAGATGCCTCTGGGGGCAGATTCATATCCACCGGATATTAGGAACTCAGCCATCCCCTACCCTGGACCTTTCTCTGCCCTGCTTCCTGCCCCCTGGGTAAAGAGAAGAGTCTAGAGGGACGGTGGGGAAACTAGGCAGGGTGTGCAGACTGCCTGAGGGAAGGTGGAGACTGTGGAGACCCCGTCCATGTTGGAGATTCCTATCTAAAGCCAGCAAGTGATTCTGTCATTTCACTTAACCAGACTTAGCTTCACAGAGCCTGTAATCTGAGCCCCTCAGCAGGCTGGGGCAGGAGGGTCGGAAGCGTTGAGGGCTGCTGTCCTCTGTGGCCACATGGTGCCGTTACCATCTTGGAGCAACTCACATCAGCAAGCTTGGGCCTGTCACCTCACAGAAGGCAGGGAGGGTCGTTAGCAAACCGGCACCTGAGCTCTCAGCCACGCCCTCCTGCACCAGCTGTCTGCATTTCTGCTCCAGTTGCAGCTGGATAGAGACGCTGGGGTCCACAAGAGGTTTGCTGAATCAGGTACTCTGTGAAGGTGATACAGTTGTTGAGGGAGGTGTCCCTCCCTCTCAGTAACTCCTAGACGTGGGTGGGATTACTTCTTTGGCCTGTCGTTGGCATCCTCTCTGGTTCACACCTCCCCAGGAGAAGTAAGGAAATAGGTTTGAGGCCAGCCAGGGCAACTTAGTGAGCCCCTATTTCAAAATTCAAGGTAAAAGCCTGGTAGTGGTGGCTTAATCCCAGCACTTGGGAGGCAGAGGTAGGGAGATCTCTGTAAGTTCAGGGGCAGCCTGGTCTACAGAGGTACAGGATAGACTCCAAAACTACAGAGAAACCCTGTCTCAAAAAAAAACAAAAATCAAGGGGGCTGGAGAGATGGCTCAGTGGTTAAGAGCATTGACTGTTCTTCCAAAGGTCCTGAGTTCAATTCCCAGCAACCACATGGTGGCTCACAACCATCTGTAATGCGGTCTGGTGCCCTCTTCTGGCCTGCAGACATACACACAGACAGAATATTGTATACATAATAAATAAATAAATAAATTTAAAAAAAAATCAAAAACAAAAAAACCACCCCCCCAAAAAAAAACCAAGAAAGGAAGGAAGGAAGGAAGAAAGAAAGAAAGAAAATTCAAGGTAAAGAGAGCTGAGCTGTGGCTCAGTGGTGGAACAATTGCCTCATGTGTGTGAGGCTCCAGGTTCAATCCCAGGCAACCACAAACAAATAAGACACACTTGGGCCTGAATTTCTTCCTCCGTAAAATGGGATTTCACTTGCTAGACTGGTAGGGTTCAGATGACAGATGCGGAAGTACACAGGAGGAGATATGAATGATGTCATCACCGGATAATAGTACAGCTGTCCAGAGGACACTGGTCTCAAGGGTGCAGCCCGGGGAGGCGTCTCAGCACACGCGCTGGGCACCAAGCGCGATAAACCTCTCCCACAGGCCTGCATTCCCCAGCTCCCCACCCTCACTGTCTCTTTCTTCCACCCTGTGTTCATTTTGCTGCTCTTGAGCATTGCCGCTGCCATGAACCATCCTCTGAGGCTGCGTGTTGTCCTCTTTGCCAAGTATAATAACTGAGGGGCCATGGGAGCCACACGTTAGTGTTAGTTCATGAGGCTGGGATTGCGAAGAAACAACTTCCAGCAGCAATGCACAAAACTTGCCTGTCCCTGGCCTCATCTGAATGCCATTGAGCTTCAAGGATGGATCATTAATATCATCGTCAATAATTATTACTATGTATCTCCTTGTTGTCTCTGGTTTAGATCTTGGAAAGGACTTTGGAGCCGGATAGCTCGGAGGAAGAGCCCCCGCCTGTGTACTCACCACCGGCTTACCACATGCACGTGTTCGACAGGCCTTACCCGATGGCTCCTCCAACTCCACCTCCCCGGTGAGAATCCATTTGACCTCAGAGCACAGCAGGCAGAGATGGAGACAGGGGTTGGGGTTGTATAAAACACGGTGGGAAAGTGGCTTCCCCCACAGCAGACTTCTACCGTGGCAAGGTACATCTTATCCAGACACCAAGGAGAACTTTCTTTTTTTTTTTAAATAATTATTTATTTATTATGTATACAATATTCTGTCTGTGTGTATGCCTGCAGTCCAGAAGAGGGCACCAGACCCCATTACAGATGGTTGTGAGCCACCATGTGGTTGCTGGGAATTGAACTCAGGACCTTTGGAAGAGCAGGCAATGCTCTTACCCTCTGAGCCATCTCTCCAGCCCCCAAGGAGAACTTTCAAAACTTCAGCAATGTGGGGCTGGGGAAATGGCTCAGTAGGCAAAGTGCTTGTTACCTGAGTGTAGAGGCCTGGGTTTGAATTCCTAGCCCTCTACACATAAAAGCAGGCACAACAGCACACATCTGGAACACCAAAGCTGGAGCAGCAGGGATAGGCAGATCCCTGGATTTCAGTGGCCCGCTGGTTTAACCAATCAGTAGATTCCAGGTACAGTGAGAAACTCTCCTAAAAGTCAAGTGGAAGGCTAGGGAGATGGCTGTCTGTCTGTCTGTCAAGTACCTGCAGAGTAAACACAGGGACCCGAGTTTGGATCCCATGTAAAAAGTTGGCGTAGCAGCCTATGCCTATGGAACACAGTTAATTAAATATGGTTCAACCTCCAGCTTCTTGGAATGTGTAATCAAGGGAGAGGCAGGGTAGGGAGATGAGCTCATGAAATATCGTACTGTCCCTTCCCTTCCCTGGCCCATGGACACATTAGTAATTAATCATTGTGCCGTCTCTTGCTGAGGCAAGATGAACCTCAGAATCCCTCCCAGCCCAGCACCCCCAGTAGCCATCAGTCACCCCTGGGCTAGTGATGCTGAGAGGTTTTTAAGCCATGTGAAGATGCATCTTCTTCTGGGCAGGAGAGTGGACTGCAAGGTCCCCAGAGACTTGTCTCAGCTTTGAGACTCTTGTGGTTTGGAAGCTTACAATGAAGCTAGCTGCCAGCAGTGTCCACTGTAGGTGAGGTGCTTGCTTTTCTGGGCCCTGGGTTTGGTGGCTGCTAGAGCCTAGGTGTGGTCACTTTGTCCAGGAAGCTGCCGCTTCTTAGCATGACGGACTTGGCGGGAGGGGATGATACAACAGGGACCTGCTGTAGTGATCCCTCCATTCTAGGTATCTTAGCAACCCCAAAACAGTGGCAGTGGGGAACTTGGAAACCAGTAAGAACAGCTGCCATTTGCCACGTACCCTGTAAAGGACAGAGACTGCCATGGCTCTTTACCCGGTGACTTATGTGGTGAGCACTGCTGTCCCCCATGTCATAGATGACGATGCTGATCCAAGGCTCAGAGCTGGGGTGTGACCTCAAGGTTCTTCATCACTGTGCCATCAGCTCCCTGCTGAGGAATCAGGCTGTAGCTTAGCGGGCTGAGAGGCTGGAAGGTTAGCTGGGCAGGACAGAGGTCATCCATCTGGTGAGGGACAGGACACAGCAGGGACCTATCACCTTGGGGGGGGATGCAGGCTGGGAGGTGGGAGTCAGGTGCCTGGGTGAGAGACTGCCCTGGAGGCCACACCTGTGGCAGTGAACCGAGCTCAGGGTCAATGACTTCCCTGTGGCTTCGGTTTTGTTGTGGCATCCAGTGTTTCCTTTGTGTTGCTGTGACAAAACGCTTGAAGGAGAGGAGCTGAGAGAGGCAAGATTTACTTCAGCTCGTGGTCTGAGAGGGCTTTTATCCCAGGATGGCAGGGAAGGTGTGGTAGAGCAGTCCTGTCGGCAAGAAGGCAGGGGCGTGGGTCTTCACATCACCGTGTATCAGGAAGCAGAGAGGACTGGCCCCGAGCCAGAGGCAGGTGGAACCTTCCAAGCCTGCCCCTAGTGACCTGCTTCCACCCTCCAGATCCCACCTGGAGAGTCCATAACTTCCCAAAGCTGTGCCACCAGCTGGAGGCCAGGTGTTCAAACATACAAACCTGTGGGGGACATTGCAGATCCAGGCCATAGCATTGAGTCCAAAGGACTTAAATCCTCTCAACTACATTTATTTATTTATTCATGCATGTTTGTGTCTGTCTGTCTCTATGTGTGGTGTATTGCTTGTCCACTGGGCCCCTCCCCTGTAGATCAGAATTTAGGGGAACCACATGGGAGCCCAGAAATCTGCTATCCAAGGCATGGCCTTAAATACACATTAAAAAAAAACAAACAAAAAACCAAACCAACCAAACAAACCGACTCTTCTGGAAAGGCCCATTTCTGAAATCCTTCCCAGCCAGGTCCAACATCCTGCAGGTAAATGTAGACCCTCCCACCCCCAACCTATACTTGAAGTTTTAGTTTTGGGGCTCCAGAGGCTCAGTCTCTGAAGATCTTCTTGGCCTCTGTCTCCTTTCCCCTCCCCTACTGAGTCCTTCCCTTCATCTGCCTGAGTCTCCGAAGTCCAGGAGAGACCCCTCTACACAGGCCGCCTGCTGTTTTTGTGTTGAAATTGCAGCCTTGGAAGTTTTGCCTCAAAGTTCATTTCTGACATTCCTACCCAACCACAATAGAGTGGCTGGGCTGCCGAGGCGGGCCATCCGCCTGCTGCTGAAGGTGACTTCATCCCAGGGCTTGGGGAAGGCTGAGCAGGGTTCTTTCTCCAGGACCCTTGCCCAGAAGCCGGGGAAACCCCAGGAGAAAAGGCGATCTCCCTGTGTCAGCGCCTACCCCGTGGGCATCCCCGAAACAATGGCTAGAGGGTTTTGGTCAGGCTTTGAACTCCCTCTGCAGCCATCCTGGGTAGCTTCCAGGTGTGGACTGAGTTGGGGTGTCCAGTTCACCCCAAACGAAGCCTGGATAAGCCTTCTCCCATCGTGGCTGGAAGTGGTGTCTCTGAGACTGACAGATGGGCCCTGGGAAGAAAACAGAACTTGGGACAGGGCCTTAAGTGGCAGAGCATTGCGGAGAGAAGGAAACCTGGCCTAGGAATGCGTGTCCTGGGTTCCCCTGCGGGCTCCTCTCTGGGGATCCCTGTGTGTCTTCAGGCTGCGAGCTGAGCTCCCCCTAGCACTTAGCAGCTGGTTATCCGTCTGCTCCTGCCCCCGCCCTCCCCTCATACCCACCGGGCCACCAGCCCAAAATAGAAAAGGAAAGGAAGTTATTTCCACAACTTAGCAGCAGACGGAAAGGCTCCCCACCAGTGAGGGGGCGGAGGGATTCCTGAAGCTGGAGGCCAAATCAAAGCCAGGCTGAGCCCAGCATGGCCCCCACCACCCCCAGCCGCCTGCCTTCTCTGTGTGTCATTTCCCTGATTCAGCAGGACACGTGTCCTGTGGTTGCCACGCAGCAGGCTGCTGAGGAGCTAGGAGCTCCTGGCCCAGCTCCAGGCTTCCTTCAGTCCTGGGCTTAGAGATGGAGCCTGGGGATCAGAGTAGCCAAGCCCTGTTCCTCTCCTGGCACAGGCACACCTTGCGTGAGAAGAGGCCCCATAGACCCCTTGGAAACAAGAATCTAACCCTGGCCTCCCAGGAGTCCAAGCTACAGCTCATGGTGGGTGGGAGGGCACCCAGTACCTTGGAAGGAGGTCAGCAGGGTCTAGATTTGGTAATGAAGCACCAGGGGCCTGAATTGGGGTCTTCCCAATGTTCCCCACCCTTTGCTGACTGTAGTTGAGCCAGAATGGGAACTCGGATCTGCTCAATTGTCCAGGAATCTTGGGAGTTCCCTTCCCCAACAAACCAAAGACAGGATGGGCTATTGACAAACTACTTGTCTGCTCTTGGGTGGAGTGGGGGGAAATATCTGCTACTTAATAGTCCAGCATTGTGCCAGCTGTTAGGGACACAGGCACAGAAGCATATGGCCCCCACCCCAGTCTGTAGGTACATTCATAAAGTCTGTGTCTAAATCCACAACACTGACATTTGCACCAGAGGCACCAAGTGACAGGGAAGCGGCCCAAGGCCAAGGCTGAGGAGTTAAGGAAAGCAGACCTAACTAAGGAGACAAAGAGGTCCCCACTGCTCCTGGCTTGGCTGCCTTCCTTGTTGGTATGCCGTTTCCCTCGTCCAGCAGAATACACACCTATACCTTTGTCCTGAATGCAGCGTGGGCACGGGACGCTCTGAGTAAGACCTCCGACTACCTGAGAACCTGTGACAGGCCAGCAGAGCTGTGGCTCAAGGCCTGACTGCTCCTTGCTCTCCTCACCTCCCATCCCCCAGGATTGATGTCCTAGGCTCTGGACAACCTACAAGCCAGAGTCGCTACAGGAACTGGAACCCACCCCTGCTGGGCAACCTTCCTGATGACTTTCTCCGAATCCTGCCCCAGCAGATGGACAGCATTCAGGTAACCGGTCGCCCTCAGACCTCCATGCCTGCCTGCCTGTCGAGCGTCTCATCTGCGCTACACACTCAGTGCCAGCCGAATTTGCTTCCTGGTTTCCAAGCCCTGGCTGAGCCGCTTTTGTTGAATAGAGTTTCTAAGGAAAGAGAAATGAACCCATGGCCTTGCTTCTCGTCTGGCCCGATGGTTAGGGTTAGGGTTTGGTGGCCCAGGGAAGGTGGCAGTCTGAGGGAGCTTCAGGCTGGAGGGAGAAAAATGGGGTAGCTAATGGTGGGGTCCAGAACTGCTCCCGGAAGGTGTCCCTGCTGGAGGGGAACAGTGTGGGACTGGGAGTCCATGGACAGGTGGTTGAACTCTTGGCATACCGCATCGCAAGATGATTTAGGTCCCAGAAGAGGGAACAAGGTGGCCCTGGGTTGGGGGGGGGGGGAGTCCTTTTGATGTCCTCCCTGCTTTCCCCCCCCCCCCCCCCGCGGAGACAGTTCTGAGTTGTTCCAGTGAGTTCGCACCAATAACTGGAGCCTATTGGGAGGAGGGGACTACAGGATGGGGCTGGAGGAGTCTGGGAAAGCACACATGTGTCTACAGGTGTGCATGGATTTTAAGTAGGTGATCTGTATGCTCGCTCTTCCTCAGGGTCACCCTGGGGGTTCCAAGCCTATGGGTGGAGAGGGAGGCCCACCTCCAGTGCCAGGACCCGGTGTCTGCGACCAGGACAGCCGCTGGAAGCAGTACCTGGAGGACGAGAGGATCGCCCTCTTCCTGCAGAACGAGGAGTTCATGAAGGAACTGCAGCGCAACCGTGACTTTCTCCTCGCGCTGGAGAGAGGTGGGCACCAAGCCTCACCACCAAAGAGTGATGTGGGCAGTGGTCTCAGGCCTCAGGAGGGGGTTGTACTGGAGGCCACAGTGCTAGGTGCTTTCTGACTTGCATAAGTGTAGCCCTTCTTGGGCCATGCAGGAGCGCCAGGGTTCAGCCATGGGGGTTTGGGAGCACCTGGGAACTCAGAGGAAGTCCTCTGCGCTGCATTAGCCTTGGCTTGGATGCCGGGAAGGAATGCTGCCCTGCATTCCCACCAACCTCTAGCCACAAGGCGGAGGTGTCATATCTTGAGCCCTGCGAGCAGGGTGACTGGCTCCATGGGTGCCAACATGGGAGGAGAGTATTTGCATGATCTACGGGTGGGTTACCCTGATCCCCAGCCTGGCTGCCTTTTATTCTGAGGTAGGGTTTGGAAACAGGGCTGCAGAGGTGGTCCTGTAAAGGTCACAGAAGGAGGAGGGAGGAGGGAAGGAGGGAGTCTGAAATGTCTGGGGAGAATGGAGCAAATTGTCCCGCCAGGGTGTTGGGCTGGAGGGAGCAGATACACAAGTGGCACAAACGAGACTTGGCTGGGCACTCAGCGGCAGCCCTGCAACCCCGGCATTAAGGAGGCTGAGGCAGGAGAACCAGGAGTTCCAAGAGAGCCTGGGCTCCATCTCAAAACCCTAAAACAATAGAAGAAAATAGGTTTGGACTCTCAGGAAGCTGCTAGTTCTGACATCCCAACATCGCAGATGCTTGTTAGGCGGTTGTTTCTATTATCACAAGTTCTTCAAGAGCTGATAGACACTGTGTGTGTGTGTGTGTGTATGTGTGTGATTTATGTGTGCTTCGGGGGCTCAGCCTCCAGGGTGCCCCTGGGTGCCCTGGAGCTCACTTCTCTGATAGAAACCATATCCTGTTCCAGATCGATTAAAGTATGAATCCCAGAAATCCAAATCCAGCAATGTGGCTGTCGGAAATGATTTCACCCTTCCCTCCTCTGTCCCAGGTAAGCTTGCTTTCCTGAGAGAGAACCTGGTGGGCTCAGTGGGCCCACACCCCAACTTTACTTTCAGTTTTAAGAGTTTAAGGGTAGGATGAAGAAACAGACCAAGGGTGGAATCTGAAGCCCCTCAACAGACCAGATGGGAGGCCTCCTGTGGGGTGAGATGTCCCCTTCAGCGAGTGTCCCTAGGTCCTTCTGTCCTGGGAGCTGTAGGTCACCACAGGCTAGTCGACCTTCCAACTATTTCCGGATCTTGAGCTACCAGAGGACACACTGAATCATGTAATGTCCCTTAATAGCAACTGAGAATCGGAAGGCCTCCGAGTCTGATGAGGTTTAGCCCAATGAGGCTTACTGCCTAATAGCAAACCAGCAAAGGCAAGACACCCGTGTTGACCGTATCCAGTGTGTGGAGAGGAAGAGGGTGAAATTAGTCTGGGAAGGGCTCATTCATTCACTTAAGTAACTGAGGACTACCTGCTGTGCCATAGGTAAGGAAAATAAATTCTGAGCCTTGAATTCTAGGTGGTTCAGCAAGAACTGCCTCAGGAAGGCCAGAGAAGCCCAGTTTACAGTCCCTAATATAACTGCCCCCCTTATGCCCCCCACCCCCACCCCAAACTCATTTCAGACTACCATATGGCTTCCTCTAGGGTGAGTGACAGTCCAGCTTGATGCACAGACTATAGCTGAGCTAAGGTTGGGAGTGGGAACAGAGGCCCTGCTTTCGTACTTGACCCCTGGACCCTGGATCCCTGACCAGTTACTGCCCTCACCCCATGTACATATACAAAAAGTCTCAGCCGTTTTTCTGGGAGCAGAACCTCCGTCCTAGAGCTAAGCCGGGAAGGCAGGAGCAGAAGGGTAAGGCACCCTGCTAATCCCAGCTCAGAGAGAGAAAATCCCATAGAACTGATTCATAAGCAAGAGGCCAGGAGCTTAGGCCCCACCAGATGTTCATCTGGGAGTTTTACAGAGCTTCTCGTCCTTGATCCCAAATTAATGAGGGACACTGGGGCTGCTGAGCTACATCAGGGTGACCCAAAGGGAACCTAGCAGCCAAGGTGACTCAGGATGAGCCAACTTACAGGGTGGAGGGCAGCAGATGAACGGCAGAGAGATTCAGACAGTGAGGAGAGAGTTAGAAGCTCCCTCCAGGAGCTTCACTGGGTTCTGACTCTTGGCTGAGCCCTGTTCTGTTCCTGTTCAACATCTGGGAGGGAATAACGGAGGGGCTGAACCTAGGAGGACGAGATCTCCCCAGAATTCTTGGCTCTGTGTCCTTTCTGCTTCACTTCCACCAGAGTTAGAATGCACAGAGGGCCGTCACAGCACAGATGGGCTGGCAAATGGTTAACACTGTGTTCTGCCCTGCTCTGGGTGCAGAAGCCTGGTGTGCAATCCCTAGAGATTTCCGTGATGTGTATCTTCCCCACCCAGCTCATTTCAAACTAGCACCATGACTTTGAGAATATGGGATTGCTCACAGAAGTTAAAACTTCTGCCAGCCACCTTCCCACACTCGCAGCAGTTAAGACTGCCCCCATTGGATCAGAAGAGGAAGTACTCTTGCAACTCGCTTTACACTCCAGGGGCTAGGGAAGAAGACTGCTCTGTAATGAAAGGACAGACCTAAACAACCATGGAGGGGCACCATCTCATCTGCTTCCCGGGGGGCCATGGCAGCTGCTCATTCTCTCTCTCTCTTAGTGGGACCTCAGAGACCCAATGGGCCTGGTCCCTCAGCAGGTGTCTCCTCCTTCCAGGAACCAGTGACACCAACCCCACTGTGTCAGAAGATGCCTTATTCAGGGACAAGTTGAAACACATGGGAAAATGTGAGTCCTGCTCCCGCCCCCTCCCTGTCCCAGCTCTCTTGAGGCAGGCCCTGTGGCCTCATGAGAGGCAAGGAGCCCCCACCCCTGAGGATTTTTAATGCTATTGACTTTTGGCGAACTTGGGTGACATTTTAATCACAGGCTAACTCCCTCGGCCTTCCTGCCTTACTTTATTCTGCAGCTGAGTCTGGGGACAAATTAAGTTTAAATCCTCTTGAGCCAGCTGTCTGCAAAAAAATAATGTGTGTCAGTGTTCACATTCTCTGTGGTGTGAGAGCTTGGCTGAGACAGGAGCCTGACCGAGTCTGCTTTCTGTGGGAATGGGAGACATTTGGGGGCACAGGGGACCTCTTCCCACTGTTTGCTTCTCATCATAATCCCCTTTCCGATCTCACAGATCCATAACCAGTGGGAATGAGGCTGGGACACTTTCAAGGTTTTATTTCAGGGAAAAATTTCCGATGAGTCACGAAAATCCTAGGACCAACTGTGGAGGTGGCTGGGGAGGGGCGGGAAGGCCTTGGCAGCCAGCGGGAAAGAAAGCCAAGATCTGTGGCTCTCGCCTCTCCGGAAGGAATACCCGGATCTTGGACTGGCGTCAGGCTGTGTACTTGGCTAGTGGTGGCCTGTGCTGCCCCTGGAGGCCGACCTGGGATGGCACACTTGCTCCTTAGGTGGCACGGTGTCTGCAGTTCCTGTCACTTTCCTCTTCCCAGTCCCCACCCAAGGGGCCTGGTGCTGCCCTGGCTGCCCCCAAACCTGGCGGGAAGCCATCTGACGCTCTGGCTGTCTGGAGCATGAAGGGCTCACAAGTCTCTCTGCCCCAGCCACGCGTAGGAAGCTGTTTGAACTCGCGCGAGCTTTCTCTGAGAAGACCAAAATGAGGAAGTCAAAGAGGAGACACTTGCCGAAGCTTCAGTCGTATCCTTCTGCTTGTCACCGGGATGGGGTGGTGGGCGCTAGGAACGGTGATGGATGTCCCGGCTGGACCCCCTGAAACTGGACCTTCCTGGGGAGTGGGATCTGGCTCTGTAGCTTCCCTTTCTTGTTTTGCAAACCAGGACATCCCCATCATCAGCTCCCTGGACATTGTCCTTCCGATGCTTCCAGTGACTTCTTTGATTTTGACCTTGAGCCATCTGCATTTTGGGGGAAAACAGTAGTCCTCCCCTTGAAAGCAGCAAACCTTTCCCTCATTTTGCTAGTTGAACTGGTTCCCAGGTGCCCGGCAGTCTTGTCTCTAGAAGCCTGCATTCTCACTTTTGGTTCTTCAAGAGAAAAGGTGTTTCCCTGTCTTCATCCAAGCTCCCATTCGCGCTTAGCCAACTTGGGGCCCAAGACAGTGAAAGCTGAGTAACCAAGGGGAGCGGGGAGAATGTCACTCTCTGTCCCTAGAGATGGGGGAAGACTAAGGAGGTTAGGGTCTGGCTGGGTGCTCGGCGGATCTCGGGAGTGGGGCCTGAAAGGGGCAGTGTTAGGCAGTTTGGGGACAGGAGGGATGGTAGGAGCCTCTTGAGGCTGGTGGATTGGCAGGACAGCACAGGCAGACCGCACGGGCTGTGACAGTTCCCATTCCTCTCTGGGGTAGCTTTCCTGAACAGGCTGGCAGGCTGGGAGCTGCTGCTTCGACAGCCAACCTCCTGGATGACGTGGAAGGCCATGCTTACGGTGAGGCAGGGCGGGGAGCCTTCAGCTCTGACTTACTTGTGATGGGTGACCCTTTGAGAGGAGGTCCTTAGTGTTTAATGTTCAGCAAGGGGCACTCAGTCTGGGAGACATGTCAAGGGTTGGCAGGCAGGTAACCCACAGAAATGTGAACCCTTGCCATGTGGTGCACACAATGCCACTCCCTTCCTGTAGTCCCTGAAGGGATGCCCAGCGAGCCAGGTGCTGTTCCTAGGGAATGTTCTTTAGGGAATGGGGTACAGACAGGCAAGCCTCATACACGGATAACCACAAGTTAGAAAACTCCAGTCTAGCCAGGTGGTGGTGGCTCACACCTTTAGTCCCGGCACTCAAGAGGCAGAGGCAGGCAGCTCTCCAACAGTTCAGTGACTGCCTGGTCTACGGAGTGTGTTCCAGGACAGCCAGGGCTACACAGAGAAGCCCTATCTCAAAGAACCAATGTAAAGAAAAGAAAAAGAAAGGAAGAAAAAAAGCTTCAGACTGAGGGCCTTGAACTTTTTACCCAGTCCCTCCCAAAGGCCACAGGGGTCAAAAGATCTCGCCAGACCACCCATGGATGAACTCCCATCACCACGCTCTTAAAGAGTCAGGAGATAGTGCATGCCTTTAATCCCAGCATTCGGGAGGCAGGGGCAGGTGAATCTCTGAGTTCAAGGCCAGCCTGGTCTATGGAGAGAGTTCCAGGATAACCACAGCTACACATAAAAATCCTATCTAGAAGGGGGGCGGTAAGGAGGGTCATGAGACACCAGATACGAGGACTAGAAGGTCTTAGAGGTCATCTGAATGGTCCATCGTCTCTATCCCATTTGATAGATGGGAAAACTGAGACTCAAGCAGGGTAAGACCTGTCCAAGACCTAGTTCAGTGGTAGAGCCAAGACAGCACCTTTTGCCTTTTGCCTCTCTCACCGCACCCACATACTGCTACCTGGGCGTCAGGAACAATCTGGGGACAGGCCCAAGTGAGGTTCTGCAGGGTGGAAGATGAGGCAGCTTCCCTTTGCCTTTCAGATGAAGACTTCCGGGGAAGGCGGCAGGAGGTACCTAAGGTAGAAGAGGCCCTAAGAGAAGGACAGTAAGAGGTAAGGCTTGGGGTCACAGCTCTTAGGGACAGCTTGGGCAAAGGGGCACCACCCACTATGTGTCCTCCCAAGGATCCAGAGGTGCTGGGCTGTGACAGAATAGTAACACTGATCCTGGCTTACTTCTCTTGTGACTTGCACATGGTTTCCTCCTGCAAACCAATTCATACATACATACATACATACATACATATCTTTTGTAACCCTACTACCCTTTGAATGCATTGGCTATGTAGATGAGGCTGACTTTGAACTTCAGATCCTTCTGTCTCCACTTCCCAAGTGCCAGGAGTACAGACTTGCTTATTTATTCATTTGACAAACAATAATCACACCTGCCTGAATCATCATCATCATCATCATCACAGATGCCCTGAACAGGAAAACCAAATCATCTTTGACCTTTAATAGTTTGCAGCCCTGTTGAAAAGACGTTCCGGGACCCACAGTGAATATTAAGAGGGTGGTGTAAGAAGCACTGTGGTCATGCACACGCGGACCTGTGTTCAGCGCCCTGCTTAGGTTGGATGGATGGTCAGGGATCTGGAAACAGCCCCTGGAATGGCTGCTTCTACCTGGAGCCTCAGGGCTGGCCTGCCTTTCCTCCTGTCTCTCCATGTACTCTCCTGAGGTGGGGAACGTACACAGACAATGCCAGCATCTCCTGCAGAAACGAGGCATGCCTGTCCCTCTTCAGGTGCCCCACCCCCCAATGAAGAGCTGCCCGCCCACCCACCTACTTTGTTTGCCCAGCTGCTGTCCTGTGCTCAGTGCTCAGCATCTACTAGGCTGTTGCCTGTCAGGTCTGGCCCCATGTCCAACCATGGAGGGACAGAAGCCCCTCTTATGATAGTTCTGGCAGAGGGCAGGGGCAGCAGATGCGGGCACCGCACTCTCCCTTCCTGGCATCCTCTCTTCAGCTCTCTCCATGCTTCCCCGGGCTTTCCTCACCCACACACCTGCACCCCAGCTTCCTACTTTTCTGGGATAACCAAGTAAGGGGAGCTAAGGAAACACCCTACTCTCACCCCTTCTTGCACCCCACTGGTCCCCCAGGAGAAAGGTGCACTACTCAAAGTCATCCCATCTCAGAACTTACTCATCATTTCTGTGTCTCCAGCTTTTTTTCCCTCTCAGCTCCCCACTGTAAAACCCGAGATCCTGCATCTAAGGCAAAATGGCCGCCTCCAGAAAGGGACCTAGCCGAGGAGGTCACCGGCCAGGCCCAGGGCCTGTGGTGCATTCCGGTGCTCCCTTCCACACCTGCAATGCCCAGGTTTGGGCTGAACTCTTCCTGGCTTGCCTATGACTCCAAGAGTCCTGGTTCTTTTTCCTCCCTCCTAGGAGGCTGTTGCTCGTCCCTCGCCCTCTACCTATTCATTGCTCTGCTCCTAACCCTTTTCACTCTTCCCCCTTCCTGCTCTAAGCGCCCAACTGTCCTCTTCCTCAGTAACTGCTCTCCCAGCTCTGCTGGGTCCCCGCTGCACCCCGTGGTCTTTGCAGTGCATCTCGTCAGTTCACTGCAAGCCATTCTCGCCTCCCTGCTTTCTCCCGCCTTCTAGCTTTCCCCATCACAGTCTTGACAGATTTATCCCGCGTGTCTTCCTTGCCCTACCTGCTGAGCCAGTCACTGCACATTGCTGTGGCTCCACTTCTCCCGGGCTTTTCTCATGGTCTTCTGAGCAAAACTCTTAGGAACTCAGCCTGGTGTCTGAGGCCCGCCAAACTCTAGCCTGCGATTACCTTTCTGCCCCGTTAGGTCCTCTTCCTTAGTGTAGCCCCTCGCCCCCAACTAGCAGGATCTGCCATTGAGCAGTGGGTGTGGTCCTAAACAGAGTTCCAGGATGATCTAGAACCGCTGGAGAAAGGAGGAGGTGCCTCATATTCTCCAAGAACCAGTGGCAGGGAAAGACCGGAGAGCTCCTTTGATGAAAACGTCACACATTTTCCCTACTCCCCAGGTGCCAGCAGCGTCGCCTTGCCAGAGACACTCTGACCGGGTGGAGGTAACCAGGGGGAAACAGCAGTGCCCTCCAGCTGCAGCCGAGACAGATGGTGCTTGCGTACCAGCGCCCAGGCTTCTTCAGCCACAGTCCAGCCCAGCCACTGCCACTTTCCGCCTTTCCACGGGACTTAGAACTTTCAGAGTTGCTTGTGATTGGAGGAGGGACCTGGAGCCTTAGAGACAAACCTTACAAACCTGGTTTGTAGTCTGGCTCCTCTCGTCTGTCGAGGATGAGCAGAAATTCAGGAACCACCCCACACATTTAAAAAGAGAAGGAGGAGGAGGAGGAGGAGGAGGAGGAGGAGGAAAAGGAAAAGGAAAAGAAAGAAAAGAAAAGAAAAGAAAAGAAAGAAAGGTCCCAGGAAGCGCCAAGGTTGCAGTTAAGAGAGCTGGCAAAATGACCCATCCGGAGGCCCTTTGGGCCTGAAAAGAGGGCTTTCCTGTTTCTTTCCCATCACTCCTGGTGTGCCACAACGGGTGTGATCTATCCCTATATCCCACCCATCCCCACCCCACCCCCGCCTTTCTTTCTAAAGGTCTCCGACATCTCAGCCTTGGATGGAACTGCTGACTCTTGGCCCATACCTGCACAGAACTCTGGGCGCTGTGGCCTTGCCGGGGTCTAGCTCACAGGGCTGCTTCTTATTAAGGGCTGGCTGTCACCTCCAGCAGCCTCCTCTTGACCCAGCAGGGATGGGGAGGGTGACCCCGGAGCTGGAGGACTCTCTCTAAGCTTGGTCTTTCGTTAGGCTGAAGATCAAAGCTGGTTCTTGATTTACATCACAGTGGGGCTCCTCAGGGGCTGGACTGGTCCTGCTGTTTTGTAAGGCAGGGAGGTGCTGGAGGGAGGGTGACCCCAACTGAGAAGGTGTGTGTAGGCTGAAGTGCACGTTGCGGAGGCTACCAGCCTGGGGCAGGGGTGGGGGTGGGGAAGCACCTAGGACAGGAACTAGCTGGGTGCCTCGGGTGGAGAACCAGAGCTGACCCGAAGAACACTGGTGATTCTAGGAATTCTCAGCCATGGAGGCCGCAATTGTGTACCACTCGTTCTATGATCTGGGAACTCGCTGACCTTTAGAGAGAGTTGGGAAGCCCGGGGAGGCGCGGGGACCTGGTTGAGAATGGGATTCGATGCTTGGGTGGCGGGGGCTGCTAGGGACTGGTAGGAAATGGAACCTCCAATTGCCTCAACTTCTGCCGGTCGAGCTTCCCCGGGCTCGGGAGAGCGGTGCACACAGAGTGACCAAGTTTGGAAACGTACGCAGGGCGGGGTTGGGGTGGGAGACCGTGGTGGCACCCAGCCAGTCCTGTGACCCCTGAAGAAAAGGACGCCTCCCCGCCCACCATGAGCCCCGGGCGGCTAGACTGTGCTCCAGACGCGTCTGGGCCTTCCCTGCTCCAGGGCCAGGCGCACGCACGACGAGAAAGCTGTAGGTCTGTGTGTGTCACTTTGTTATTTTTTCCCTTTTGTGTGTGGTTTTTTCCTTGGAGCCGTTTCATAGGAATTCCGGTAATAAAGACTTGGTGTTCTCTTGGTGCTCTGATGTGGCCGGCGGTGTGGGCTGGACCCTCCCTCCTTTTCCCTCCCCAGGGGATAGGTTTTGGTCTCTGGAGAAGTGCCAAATCCTTGGGCCACCTGCAATCACGCCCCACCCCCACGCTACCACCCTCCACTCCCCCACTCCCCTCCTGGTTAACCCTCAGGGTTGTTTCTAGGGTCCATAGGACTCAGGTTTCCTGCACACCGCCTCAGGAGATGACATCTGCAGCCTGTGCGACCTGCCGGCGTTGCCTAGCGCTGCTCCTTCCTCTTTGCCACACAAAAAAACCGCTTGCTGATAGGCAACAAAACAGGGTTGTGAAACCCGGCCTGTTGCAAAAGCGCCACACTGTGCCTCCCTGCATTAAACACAAAGCTTCTGGATTAACGACGGTCGTCGGACCGACTGGAGGTTCCAAGATGTACACCCCAGAGGCTTGCATCTCCCACCTGAGAGGGACCACAACCGTCTTCCTCTAGAAGTATCTCAACTTCCTGTGCCACCAAGTCAGCGGAACTCCCTTTCACCTCTACACAGGCAGGGACAGGACTCTGGCTTCTGAAAGAGGAAATGATGCCCTCTTCAGAACAGGCAATTCTTAAGCTTCAAAATTCTTCCTTGTGTGGAGCCAAAGACTTCCTTGTGATATTTAACAGCTCATCTTTCTTGTTCTGGGCTCAGGGTCATCCTGCCAAGGGTGTCCTTCCTTCTTTCCCTCAATTTCACTTTTCACACTAGGATAAAAACAACTGTCTCCCGTGCCCTTCCATCAGGGTCCTCCCGTGACCCAGCAGATACAGGTAGTTTGGTATGGTCCCTGAGACGCTGGCATGCTGTACTAGGCAAACTGAGATTCTCTTCCAGCCTTAGGCCAGTTATTCAGCAATATCTTAGGGCTATGCCTTACTGAAGGGAAGCTGTAGAGGGCTGTGAGCTTAATAGAAATGCTTGTTCTCGCGGAGTGGTTAATCTCACACCGGCCCTGAAAGGAACCAAGTTCAAGTCCCAGCCCCTACACCAGGCAACTCCCAACTGCCTGTAATAGTGGATCTGATGCTCACTTCTGACATCTCTATATACATATGTGCATATTTTTAAATTCAAAATTTTAAAATGAAATGCCCTATTCCAGACCTGCATCAGAAATTAAGGATGTAACCAAGCAACTGTGATTTCTATACACACTAGAGTTTGGGAGCCATGGTGTTAGGCTACTACTTCCCAAATACTTTTCCAAAATTCCTGTACTCCAGACTAATTAAATCAACAGCTATGAGTTTTGTTTTCAAAGTGCAGGGGGGGGGGGTTCAGTTTGCAATCAAGTCAGAGCTGGGGCTGTCAGTCAGGTGTTTCATGGGCGGAGTTGATCTTGCCCAATAACCACTCTACAGGTAAGAAAAAAAATTAAGTTTAGTGATCTACCACAGACCAATCACAGAACTGGTTAGCTTCATCTTCAGACTGCAACTGTCTCCACCAAACTTCAGACTTCACTGAGCTCCTGCCTTATACTCCTCTCTCCACCCAGCCATATCACTCCTGTCTCCACCTCCACAGTGCTAGGATTAAAGGCATGGGATCCCAGCACTTGGGAGCCCTGTTTCTCTTTTAGACAGATTCAATCTTGTGAAGCCCAGAGTGGCCTTGAACTAACAGATCCTTCTGCCTCTGCTTCCAGAATTCTGGGATTAAAGGTGTGCACCACCACTCCCTGGCCTCTCATGGTTTAGCTCTGCACTCTGATCTTCAGGCAAACTTTATTTGTTAAAAACAGAAACAAAGTATCACTACAGGGGACAGGTGATAAAATCCAGTCTCCCTACATGGACACAACTTGTGAAGAACAGGAAGGGGCTACCTGCTCAGCAACACCTCCCAGGGATATCTGGGATCCAGCAGTGTGTCCGGACCTCCCCCCATTAACATTATTTAAATTTGTATTTATTTGTTTATTTATTTATTTATTTAGTTATTTGGTTTTTCCAGACAGGGTTTCTCTGCATAGCTTTGGAGCCTGTCCTAGTACTCACTATGTAGACCAGCCTGGCCTCAACTCAGAGATTCACCTGCCTCTGCCTCTGGAGTACTGGGATTAAAGGTGTAAACCACCACTGCCCACACCATTAACATTCTTTATCTAGATTTAAAAACAATCTCCTAGCATCTGCAGCAAAGGGCAAGCCTGCTACTGAGAGAGAAGCTCACGGAGTCCTATGCCCCTTATCACAGCACCGATTCATTTGTTGGGTTGGTCTGGGCCAGCTGGGGAAAGTTGTAACTTTCTGGAGATGGAGGTGGGGGGGGAAAGGTGGGTGGATGGAAAGGGTCTGTGTAAGCCTACTGCCACCAGGCGGTCATTCTGCAGAAGTGACAGTCACTGACCACAGGCGGAAGAAATACCATCTTTGTAGGAGACCAAGAGTGCACCTTAGGCTGCAGGCTGTATATACCACCAGGAGTTTGTGCTTACCGCTACATTTGGAGAAGTTTGCAAAACAAAGATTTTTCTTAATATTTAAAATGTCTCTAAATCTATATAAGCTTCAGGACCCATAAAACAAGCCCTACTCTGGCTGGGTGTGGTGGCTCATACCTTTAATCCCAGCAGAGGCAGGGGAATCTCTGTGAGTTCGAGGTCAGCCTGGTCTAGGACGGCCAGGGCTTCACAGAGAAATCCTGTCTCAAAAAAAAAAAAAGGCAAAATAAACAAAAACCAAGCCCTACCAGGGCACGGCCTGCCTACAGGTGTCACTTCTGGATTATTTTTTGTTTGATTTTGTTTGAGAGAGGATCTCACTATGTAGCTCTGGCTGACCTAGAACTCACTTTGTAAACCAGGCTGGCCTCAGACTCACAGAGGTCTGCCTGCCTCTGCCTCCCAAATGTTTGGTCTAAAAGCATGCCCTACCACACCTAACAGGTACCATTTATAGAAAACATAGAATCACTAGTCTTTTTATTTAAAAATTCTGTTTGTTTATCTTACTATTATGGTTAGGGATGAAACTTAGGGCCTCACGTATACTAGGCAAATGCTTTGCCACTGTACTAGATCCCAGCTCTCAGGATCATTAATTAAAAAAAAAAAACATGTCAAGAGGATTGGTCCATGGACTGCAGTGTGAGTGGTTGTGAAACTCAACATGAGCAGTGCACAAGCCAGCCTTCTCTTTCAAAGTGTGGCCTGGATGCGAAACTCTGAAAGCTAGAACTAAGAATGTCCATCCAAACTTTCATTGAAAACTTGAGAAAGCTGTTTACCCTATTTGCAGACTAGCAGACTGGCTGTCAGTCAACCCAGAAGCTCGTTAGAAACGCAGTTCAGGGCCCCACTCCAGACCAACCTAATCAGAACCTGCCTTTCTCAAAGTTGCTAGGAGATTTACCCCCAGATTCACAAGCCCTGACTTACCTCATCCTCGGTTAGCCGCTGAGCCGTGAATCCCCTTAGAATGAGCCTAATTAGCAAACACTCCAACAGGCGGCTGCTCACTCCTGTGCCCTTGGCTGTGGAAAGGAGCCAAAGTCACGCAGACCTCCAGGGCAGTTATGGGCACAAAGTGTTGGTCTCTCCTTTGTGCTGGAGCCTCCTCCAGGGCAGCCACCTGTTAGTGGGAGGAAGCCGGGCAGCTTGGGACGCTGTCTTGTGAATTGTGAGGTGTGATTTAACTGTGGACCACTCTGCTCCTAAGCGTGGAGTCCTCAGAAATCTTTGCCTACTGCACAACTGCTGTGCAGTGCTAACACACTAACCGGCTCTTCACAAGGCTGCTTCTGCCCTGCCCCCACCTGAGACAGAATCTCACTGTGTAGCCCGGACTGGTTTGAACTTGAGATCCTCCTGCCTCCAGCTCCCAAGTGCTGAGATTCCGTGTGGGTGCCACCACTCCCAGAAAAGGTTTTCTGCTAAGTCTTATGGTTGGTTCCATTTTGCAGAAGACAGTTGAAGCCCAGAAGATTATTAAACAGTCCTGCTGAGGCACTGGACAGCCAGAGGTAGAAAGGACAAGACACACTCAATGCATGATGGGGTAGGAGAATATTTCCATACAGTGTGTCTTAGAAAGGCCTCAAAGGGAAGCTGGACTCAGGTGGTATGGTCAGATGTATGCAAGCAGTTACAAGTAGCCCATGGTCACTACAACCTTCTTTGTCCTAACTTGATATTATTCATCCATGCCATTCACTAGACAACTCGCTAAGAACCAGTGATGGGCCTGCACCAGGCTGGGTGTGGGCAGAGACAGGCCAGTTCCTGCCCTGAAAGAAGCCCAGTGAGATTGACTCAGACAAGTAAACAGAGTTGTGAGGATAAATCTAGGTTGGGGCACTCATCCCATGTGGCTGTGTACAGTGGGGCTGAAGGTATGGGTGTCCTGAGGCACATGCTCAGCTAGACAGGAAAGCAGAACCTGATATCCTGGAGAAGAGAAAAGGTATCGCATCCTCCCTTCCCTGCTGTGCACCCTCCTTGCCCTGGACCCATTCAGTAGGTGTGTGTGTCTTTATGGCAAGGTCTTTTTATGTAGTCTAAGCTGGCCTGGAACACACTATGTAGACCAACTGTGCAGCCCTACAATTTTTGTTGTTGTTGTTCATTTGGTTGTTTTCTAGGCTGGGTTTCTCTGGGTAGCCCTGGCTGTCCTAGAACTCACTCTGTAAACCAGACTGGCCTCGAACTCATGGAGATCCACCTGCCTCTACCTCCTGAGTGCTGGATTAAAGGTGTGCACCACCACCTACTGGCATATAATTTATATGCTCTGTATGGAATATGTGCTATTTATTTTCTCCCATTAAAAACATTTTCTGGGGCTAAGGAGATTGTTCAGCAGATAAGGGCATTTGATGTCAAGCTGGGGCACCTGAGTTCAGTCTTTGGTATCTTCACCGTGAAAGTAGAGAAACAACTTCCACAGGTTGTCTTCTGGCATGTGTACCACTCATGAGTTTTAAAACATTCAAATGAAGCAATTACCTATTTATTCCTTGATC